CTAATATTTTCGTTCAATATACTCAATTACCGGCAGTTTAATATTTAATCATAGTTTTTGTATCGCGTGTCATTGCGNGTTTTTTGATCGGAAAACTCTGTTCCTCTCCAGAAGACTTCCAATAATAATACCCATTTATTTGTTTAACAATTTTTTTAAGGTACCTATATTTTATAGGGTGCCAAAACCCCAGATTTCATGAACCATACCAAGGACTTTCGTGAGGCATTTTTTCAGTACAATTTACGAAATCTTACGTTTATTTTACGAAATACATTCGTAAAGCACTGAACAAATGATGTAATGTGGAACGATTTTCCGTCATCCCTTTGTCGTACGAAAAATGACACTGAAGATGGCACAACGCCGAAACCGGTTTGTCTCCAAACCAAATTTGACAAGGGATGACGGAAAATCGTTCCACATTACATCACACTCCTACCCTGTCGGAAATACCAACAACAAAAATGAGAACACTAAACAAATCTCTGTACGAATAATTTTGTATATTGTAGGAAGGTATTCGTTATATTCAGGTATGGTTTTAAAATTTACGAAATCTACTTCTCTGTATTCGTACAATTTAGTTAATACGTTCGTATAAAGTACTAATGCAGAAACATGTTTTTAAATTCGTACAACATACTAATATTTTCGTTCAATATACTCAATTACCGGCAGTTTAATATTTAATCATAGTTTTTGTATCGCGTGTCATTGCGAAATTAATTGTTGGCTGCTGTGAAACGTATAATATAATTTTAAACGTTTTAAAAATGGATTTGCTGGATAAAAAAACAATACAAAATTAAATATTAATGCTGTGGATATACTATGCTTTTAAGCATACAATGTTTTCATCTTCGCCTACGCTGCGCCTTGCACTGCAATGTGGGACTTGATAAATAGGCAATTTCATCAGTTACCTATCAACGGCAAGCCTAAGCCAAGAGCACTACTTAATGTAATTAAAAGTAAGTAAATGTATGACCTTTCACTGAAACTTGCTTTTCAGACGCCTTATAATTTTCCTTTAATTTATATAGTCGTCAAGAAAATAAACATCGATGAAGCTGCGAATCTGTCAAGTTCCTCTATATAAAAATATTATAATGTTTAAGAAAGAAAAGCCAGTATTTTTGATATTCCTTCTGNTTCGTAAAAAAAAAAAGAAATAGTACGAATTTTTTTAGTAAATAGTACGAAATTCTTTAGTAAATAGTACGAATCCATTCGTANTCCTCTATATAAAAATATTATAATGTTTAAGAAAGAAAAGCCAGTATTTTTGATATTCCTTCTGATTTTTTATATCTTATTATATTTAGTTTTGTTGAGTCTCATAGTTTAACACTTTGCATCAATATACTTTATTGAATGAAGCCTAAGCAATAAAAAAATATGTAGTATAGAACCTATTCGTATGCATATAAATGAAATACTTAAGTTTTATTATAGGTAAAATAACCTTTTTTATTAATTCTAAACTAAAGTGTAATCAGAAAATTCTTCTTCTTTCGTAGAACGTATGATTGCTTTTATTATTAACACATTTTAAAAAACATNTAAAAATAAAGTAAAAGTGTTGTGTTATATTTCGTAATATGTTTTTTACAGTGTGGAGAATGAAAGCAAAATCGCACATTCTACGAAACAAGAGGTTTTACGAAAGTTATTTCGTTAAATATACGAATTATTTCTGTGCATTTTACAAAAATTTCGTAAAAAAAAAAAGAAATAGTACGAATTTTTTTAGTAAATAGTACGAAATTCTTTAGTAAATAGTACGAATCCATTCGTAAAAATATACTAAAAATCTGATGCCTCATATTTTCGTAGTATGTACGAAAACGGTTTTGTATAATAAACGAAAACTTTCGTGGCTCAAAATTACTAAAAATTTCGTAAAATTTACGCAAGTTTTCGTTATATTTACGCAGGTTTTATTTTCGGTGTAAATATTATTTGATTTCAAAATAAGAAAGGTAAATAAATAAAATATTTTTTCCGTATAGAGCAATCTCAGGGGGCGGGGCGAGAGCATTAAAATTCCGACTTTCCTTTTTTACCACCCTAATGTACATACACAAATGAAAATCAATCACTTTGGATAGAATGCATTTGTACTTTGTTGTTCCTATGCATTATTTCGCATAACAGGAAAAATCTGTAAAATAGTCCATCAGTCAATTAGGGTGTTCTACGCTTACATATACACTTCCATATGTACAAGTGTATGCACGAAGTGTATATACAGAAGGATAATGAAAATACATTTACAAGCAGGGCGGAAGAGGGAAATATTCTCAACCACAAAAACCGCTAAAGTGGCAGCTACCACAATTGCGTCTGCACTTAACTGCTGATAGCATCGTTTACTACGGCAACAGTAAAAATCCAAAGCAATTACATACAGACACCACATTGATCTATAATATTGCATGTAGTATGACAACCATTCAGCCGAGTAGGCGTTCTGAACGAGAACTGAAACATGACAAGACTAGAGCAGCAAATAGAGCGAAGGCATCAAAATCAACTCATCCCATGCATACATAGATGACCACCTACATACATATATATTCATATGTATATGTATTTATCAGTTTATTACTTACATTCATAGATTGTCAAGCAACGAGCTGGAGCTGAAAACGACCAGCAGACTTGGCAAACATTGACATCCATGGTGAAAGCACAGTGAGCTCCTCGACCTGCACATCAAACGCCTCTGTATATTTATTTGTGTGCAAAATTTCCTCTCTTCTGCTTCTGTGGAGAATGAGTCCACAAACTCGTTTGAGTATTTCCGATAAAAATTAAATGGCTCAGTGTACATACATACGTATGTACGTACTGTGGTGCCGGCTACTAGCGGATATTACATTAAACCAAAGATTGCATTGCAACGGAACAGTAGTGGCAAGTGATGGCTTGGAGGCTAGTAAAATAATAAATTAAATTATGGATGTGCTTGTAGTGTTAATTGAAAAAGCTTGTGATGCACTGGCATTTAGGTTTTCCAGAGTCAACCACCTGATGGATATGCTAGCAAATTAATATCTGCCAGCTGGTGAAATATGGAAGGAAATGCATAACTAAAAGAGATTGCTGAAGTATAGAAGCAAAGAGTGCATAGGCACTTTCATTTGACTTTTCAATATGGAAGAAAAAAATATTCACATTCTTTTTCTTCTTATTTTGTAATGCAACTATTTGTCAGCTTGAGTCGAGAGCAGGAAACACTTTCCAATTGTCTCCCTTCTTCGCAAAGTTCCGGCAGTGACTCAAACCAAGTGTTGACATACATATCGTCGTTTAAAGTGCAAAACCGCGTATCAACAAAATGCAAAACCGCGTATCAGCAAAATGCAAAACCGCGTATGTGAAGTTGTATCAATTATTTTCTAGAGCGAAAAAACACTCATATTTCAAAATGGTTCTCTTTTTTATAAAGAAATCGCATTTCTGGCTAGTATATTTCAGGACGAATGGATAAGGATTGAGCCAAGCGCTTGTGTGAGCAAATCCAATTTTTGGCAGCCAATGTCAGTTACGCGGTTTTGCAGAATGACGGTTTTGTCCTTTAAACGACGATATGTATATGTAATTCGTTGTTCGCCGGTGATTTTCGAGCATAAGGATATTTTTACTTGAGTATCAACAACCATTCATATTTGGCCGTATGAATAAAGACTAAGCAATTGCTTTTTCTTAAAATTTCATACCATTTGATTGAATTTTGTTTGAATAAATCGAGTAAAAGGTCTGAAATTTTAAGAAAAAATAACAATTATTTTTTATTTTTATCTAAATAATCTGCAAATAACAGTTATTTTTGATTCTTAAATTATATGTCTTAGATAACAGTTATCAAAGACTTTTATTTATAAAAGTCATTAATAAAAATCAGTCACTGACCTTTATTTTTTAAATCATGGTTATAAAAGTCATTTGTATAAGGCGTAGTAAACATTTTTCCTAACACCTTCTTTACTACGAAAAATGTTAATGACTTTTATACGAATGATTTAAAAAATAAAAGCCGGTGACTGATTTATATTGATGACTTTTAAAAGTAAAAATTACTGACTGATTTATATAAATAAAAGTCGTCGATAACAGTTATGACTTAGATATAATATAAAAATAAAAAATTATTGTTATTTTGGATTTATAATATAAAAATCTAAAATAATTGTTTTTTTTTTTTAACTTAGCACAAAAAAAATTCATTTTAAAATTTGAGTCTCGGTGAAAAAAGAAATCGATTGGTAGGTAGCACTTAGTTGTAGAACATTTCCTTCATAGTGAATTTTTCCATGACAGCTTTCATGAATAACTGTTATGTTCGGTCCCTGAAAAATATCCATAAAGAGACTATTTAAATTCGAAAGGCCAATGAAAACTCGAAGTTAACGCTAGTCATAGGTGGTAACACTAAGAAAAATTAAAAGTGCAATTTTCACGGAAAATTCATGTGATTTATTATTTTTTCGTAATTCAGTGATATCTACCCAAATTGCGAATTAGCGGTTTAAGGGGGAAACCCTCGCATGCCTGTGCTATCACTCAATTGTAAAATTTGTTTTATCTTCAACACTCCAACCTTTCCATACCATAACTCTCAACATAAAAATACAAATATTCTCATTTAAAATTCCCATTTTTCAATTAACTATTCACCAAGTCTGAGTTACTCAACAAACAACTCAATTAAAAACCAAATACAATTCAAAACAGTAAACCAAGCAACGCAGCCAACAGCCAATAATTTTGAGGCGCCCGATTACCGTATTTGTGGTTTGCATATTGCATCGACGACCAACGACTGACCGCGCACTGACAATTTCAATATCAATCGAGCAAATGAGTAAATGAATGACGTTAAATGACTATCAAATAGGCAAACAACAGCTTGCTGGTTGCCGGGCCCGGCTTGCTGGACTGCCCGGTGGCAAATTTGTTCGTATATAGTATGTATGTGTGTGGGTACTCACCTGGAGAAATATGCTGTGCACGCACGCGTAAGTGGACGCAACTGAGACCTTTTCGGGATAGCTGAGTGATGCGCCAACTGAATGACACGTCAACCGACTGACTCACTGACGCATTTAATCACTTTGCTGCAATCGATTTGCGTGTTATTGTTGGCGTTGCATTCGCCGTTGATTCAATACTCAAATAAATGCTATCAGTATGAGCATATTGCTTGCTGCTGCTACCGCTACGGCTGGGCGGTGTGCTTTGGTGTTGTGGTTTGATTGTTTTTGTTTTTTTTGAGAATGTTGGCGTGTTAACGTTATTCCATGGAAGGCTTTATGCACTGTTGACAATTTCGATAAAATTTTACTTTGACTCTTGCTTTGGCTTTTGCTTTTTCTTTTACACTTTTATTTTATTCACTTGTCGTTTGGACTTAATTCGATTTTGGTTGCATTTTGGTTTCATTTGCAATTTTTGCCATAACCACTTGCACTTGCAATATATTTCTTTCATTTACTGCTTGAATATTTGTTTACTCGTATGTTGTCGTTTTGTTGTGATTGCTGTTGTTTTCGATTTGTATTTTTTTATTAATATACTCTCGTATTTTGTCGGTTATTTCGTTGGCGTATTTTACGCTCTTGTGGTACGCACACGCATGAATATACATATAACTAGCAAGCAAATCTATCCGATAAATAATTAAACATAAAAATTTAGGAGGGTCGTTAATTTTTTCATGATCCAATGATCGGATCTAAACCAAATTAGTATGCGACAACCTGTGAGATACTACCTTTCTCACCGAAAGGTTGACGTAAAAAAAAATAAAAATAAAATATGTAAAAAATTCCGACGATTGGATAACCTTCTCGTTTTTTGAAGTCGGTTAAAAATTAAAGCACATAAGCATTAGGTTTGCAGATGTAGATATGGATAAATACAACTACTAATTACTTGATACACTGCCGGCAAAAAGTATTGGCACAGCAATCTTTTCACAATATATGAAACATTTTTTTCCCCATATTTTTCCGCCAATTTTTTATAAAAATATGGTTCATTCTACAACAAAAAAATATAATTCCATACAAAAAAAAATTTCGAAAATACTTTATATGGAAGAAATTGCAAAACACCTTCAACAGAAAAAAATTCTCAAAAATTAATACGATTTTTGACTAACTCGGAACTTGCATTTTTTACTAGAATTTAATAGGCTGCAAAACTGCATTCTCAAAAAAAAAAATAAAAAATCTGATTACAAAAGTGAAAATTTGCGGAATTTTCGCGAGTTTTGCACAAAGTTTTGGGATTATATTTTTATGTTTTTGTTGTAGAATGGACCATATTTAAAAAAAAAAATTGGCGGAAAAATATTAGAAAAAAATGTTGCATATATTGTGAAAATTTTGCAGAGCCAATACTTTTTGCGGGCAGTGTAAATCTTAAGGAAAAAATAGGGAAAGAAACATTATACAGAGGTTTTGAAGGCCGCATATGGCGAAACAACGGCTTACTGCTTTAGAATTCCACAAGCTATTCGAAGTCGAAAACTAACCAGGACGGCTAACTTGATATCTCATACCTCTGAATACTTTGACCAAGCCAGCGTCGCTGCTGTATTTTAATTATTTGCTTTGAATATGTATACATATATCACTGTAAAGCTCATGCAGCTCATCGTTCCATCGTCGCGCTATGCGTCAGCGCCAATATCCAGACATCGTGGCGTATAGGTAACTCTTTTTAGTGACGCCGAAAGCGGTTTTGAAGTCGACGAATAGATGGTGCGTGTCGATCCTATTCTCGCGAGTATTTTCCGAGATTTTGCGTGTAGTGAATACCTGGTACCTTGCCAGATCTAAAGCCACACTGATTAGGCCCAATCAGTTAGCTAACTTTTCAACCGTGCGCTTCAGGCTCGGGGCACCGAAATTGCGCATATGGAAACTGTGCATTTAGACATTATTTCGGTTTCAACCGAAACTGTGCATGTATGCTTTATTTCGGTTTTTACCATATGCATTATTTGCCATAATGCAACCCTGCTGCGAGGTTGCAAAATGTAGACGCGTAAAAAACATACCTTTGAGTGTGACAAAATGTAGACGGCGTCGTTTTCCAATTTTGTATGGAACACCACAGATTTTACGGTTAGAAAACGTCTAAAATGTAGACGTCTACATTTTGAGACACTATTTGGAACGAACTGTGAAAACCCCATATGGCATTCGTATTCACAAGGAGAAATCTCAAAATTTTTGTTTGGCATTTCCAAATTTTCTCTTTTTTATCAGTTGGCAAAAGCCCTCAGTGGCAGAGCTCCGAGCGTTGAGACAGTAATTTCATGTCAATTAGTAGAAAAGTTCCATGTTGAAAAAACTTTTTTATTATGGCGTGAAAATTTTACATTGCTGTGCCAATTCGTAACTTCTCACTGCTGGAAATTTTTACAGTTGCTCTGGTGCAAAAGAAGTTCTAGAATAAAAGCCATGCATTTATTAGACGCCTTAGTAATAAAATTATAACAAAAAAATTCTTCAAAACCGTCAGGCCGGGTTGAAAATTTTCATTCACCTCGTAGTTAGCAAAAATTTACAATCCGTAGTACTTTTCTATCAATTCGCAAATGCCGTTTGCACAAAAAAGGTTATGAAATGCGTTTTATTTAAATCGTTTAGAAAATGAGTCATTTATGTATATCATTTTATGTGGAATTATTCAATAAATTTCGTTTTACACTATACTTTTTGAAACTATTTGGAGTTAATTATTTTTTGTTTCTTAAAAGCAACTCTGCGTGCTTGGAAGGCGTC